ACACATTCCTCACGAAAGATACAGATGAAGTGATTCAACATGGTTATGTCAGTTGGGTCATTTGTAGAGACACAAAGGAGCCTAGAGTGAAGTTAAGCCAAAAAGAGAAAAACAAGTATTGTATATTAATGCATATATGGGGAATTTAGGGAAAAAATGGTACAGATGAAACTATTTCCAGGGCAGGAATGGAGACACAGATGTAGAGAATGGATGTGTGGACGTGGGGAGGAGGATGGGGGGGCGGGTAGGATGAACTGGGAAACTGGGAATGACCTAGGTGCACGTGTGTGCCAAGTTGCTTCAATCATGTCTGACTCTTTGCGACCCTGTGGACTGTAGCTGACCAGGTTCCCCTGTCCATGGGATTCTCAAGGCAAGAATACTGGCGTGGGTTGCCATGCTCTCCTCCAGGGGATCTTCCTGACCCAGGGATTGAACCTGCATCTCTTATGTCTGCCTTATTGGCAGGCAGGTACTATACTGCTAGTACAACTTGGGAAGCCCGGTAGGCAATGTTTGTGTCCTGCTAAAATCCATAGATTGAAGCCCTAAACCTCAATGTGATGGTATTGGGAGGTAGGGTCTTGGGGAGGTAATTAGGTCATGAAGGTGGAGCCCCTATGATGGGATTAGCACCTTCACAAGAAGAGGAGGAGAACAGAGCCCGCTCTCTCTGCCAAGTGAGGGCAGAGCTCAGAACAGCTGCTCAGAAGAAGTCTCTTATTAGAACCCAGCCTTGCTGACTTCTAGCCTCCAGACTATGAGAGAATAAAATTTTACTTAAGCTCTCCAGTCTATGGCATCATTGTTATAGTAGCCTGAGCTAGGACACTAATTGAATGCAGTACTGACCAGGGATTCAAAGAATCCATCCTTGGCCTCCAAGGGCATCTCATGAGAGACCAGAGGTTTGTGCAGACTATCCTGTTTTGAGAAGGCTGTGCTGCATTTCCAAGTCAAAATTCCCTCTTGATGCACTTGTGAAGCTTAAGCAATTTGTTGTAGAGATGACTTTAACCTGACTCGGGCTCAGCTATCTTTAGTGCGTGATGTTCCAAATGAACCACGCGACCTGCCCAATCTAGTTGCTGTTGCCATTTGTAAAAGAAGAAAAAGCCCATTAAAGGAAACATCAAGGGTATTCTTGGAGGTGAAGAGAAAACAGCAAATCGTAACACGTTCCCCAAGGCTTGTGCGTGAACTGAAAAAAGGGAATATCTTACATATTAATAGGAACTTAAAGGAGGCCTGCTGAGATGAAACACAGAACTGTGTGAATCTGAATATCAGATCGACAACAAATTCTTAGTGTAAGTGTGTTCCAGTCGGTGTCCGCTTTTCTTAGGTGCCAAAGCTGGCAATTCTGCCTTTGAGCCCTGCTACTCAAAATGCGATCCCTGTACCAGAAACCTCTGCTTCCCTGGGAAACGTATTAAAAACGTAGAATTCAGTTCCATCACAGACTTATTGCATCAGAATCTGCATTTTTTAACAAAACCCCCCAGATTTTAGCCTGTCCATTTGAGAGGCACTGCTTTAAGTCATCACTAATTTCAACAGGCGATATTCATTTTGTAATAGCTATTTGGGAAAACAATACACATTGGGGGACACAGAGTGACATATCCATTGCAGGAGTCCTTTTGATTTTGGACCGTTAACATATGAAATAGACATGCTTCTGAATCAAGGAAGTATGGTAGAGAGCTTGGAGCAGCATTCAGAAAGCAATCAGGAGAAAAATGGGTGATGGCAGACAAGTCTGAGCAAATACTTAGGATAAAAGGGCTGCAGAGACTGTGGCTAAAGGAATTGGATGGATAAAATATTGTACAAAGAGGAAGAAATATCTAGGTTACCGGCAGCCTCATCTCACAGGCCTGAGTTTTAAAACTCCAGACAATTTCTATCAATGCTAGTAAACATTGCTGTTCCACACTTGATAGATATTTTTTGAAATAAGAGTTCTGGTTCTTTTATTTCACAGAGTGACAAGAATAACCTTTCTTTCTTTCTTTTTTTTTTTTACAAGCATTCCTAAACATTTCAGAAAGCCTTTCATTTGAAAGTTCATACTTCAAAAATAGGGAAAAAATATCTTGTCTGCATTACAAATAGATTTTTCAACTTACAAAATAGTTCAGTGGAATTTTTTTCTTAGTGACAACTTCTCTCCTGTGTTCCTAGATCAATTAACATTTGGATGAGAAGAAAGCTTTAATTAAATTTAATCCAACAAGCCTGTATTGGTTATCTACTTATAATGCTATTAAATATAAAGTTATAATATTAAGATTTCATTATAATGGAAGAATTAAAAAGACAAGAACTAAGAAAACCCTGTGAAATTATAACTTTTCAATGGAAGCATAATTTGAGTCACAAATATTTGCCAGTATTATCTTTTTAATAATACATTGGGTTAAATTCTGGAATAGTCCTGCAAGTGATTTTATTGTATTAAATTTGATGATTTCCCTCACCTGCATAAAATCCTCTAATGGCTTCTCATGGACTCAGGATAAAATTCAAATCTGGTTCCTGAGTACCGAGCAGGTGTGTCTTGTGGCTATGTCCTTTCCCAACCCACAGTCCAACGGGATGATACTTAAAGTTCCAAAGTCCACTGTCCTGTCTCCAATCACTGGGCCTTTTCATGTGTTGACAGACAGCACTGCCATCACACAGCACTTAACTGACAGAGCCTTGCTGAGGCTGGGCTGAGGGTGTGCTTCATAAGATTGCTGAAGGACTGAATGAACAAAAGAACAAAGAATCTACTTCATTTGTTCTCCTAGCCCAGGGATGGCAGTATATATCTGTCACTTGTTTTAGAGTCAGGATATTGAAGTGAAATGGCTTCTCAGGTGGCTCAGTGGTAAAGAATTTGCCTGCAATGCAGGAGATGTGAGTTTGATCCCTTGGTCGGGAAGATACCCTGGAGAAGAAAACGGCAACCTGCTCCAGTATTCTTGCCTGGGAAATTCCACGGACAGAGAAGCCTGGCAGTCTACAGTCCAGGGGGTCGCAAAGAGTTGGACAGGACTTAGCGACTAAACAACAACAATCGAGGTGAAAACAATACTCTCTAGGGTTTGGGAGATGTCAGCTTTCACCTTAGTTCATCAGCTATCCTCAGACTAATGGTTTACCCTGTCTAGATTCCTGACTGCACAATGAGGAACTTGGCTGAACTATCCCAGGCTCTTCTTGCTCTAACTTCATGGTCTTTATCTTCCCCATTCATTTTCTTGATGCAATGTAGTCCCCTCCCCAGTCCTTCCAGCAAACCTTTCTTTATATTTCTTCTGTAAGAATTTACAGGGACTTCCCTGGTGGTCCAGTGGTTAAGAATTCACTTTCCAACACAGGGGTTGCCGGTTTGATCCCCGGTCAGGAAACTAAGACCCTGCATGCTGACGGGCAGCTAAGCTCCCTTGCTGCAACCACTGAGCCTGTGTGCCCTAGAGCCCCTGCGCCACAATGTTCTGGAATGAAGACCCAGTGCAGCCAAAATAAAAGTAATAATAAAAAAAGAAATTGTCCATGCACTAATATCCAGTAACCTGTGTAATTCTCCATGGGAATGCAGTTCAAACACAGTCGCCATTTCAGCCAAGGCTTAAAGGTAAACACAGATGGGCAATGGAACAGCTTGAAAAATCAACCACTTTATTCATTAGGCCATCTGGTCATCCTTTACAGTGTCTTTCTGTACAGTCATTAGGAAAAGACACATTAGAAGCTGTTAATTCACAGCCGAATTTGCTGGCCCAAGGTCCCCTTCATAGAAGACTGAATACTGCTAAGTTACTAAACATTTTTGAGGGGCAGCATTGTTGATACTGTGAATAGCCTTTGGTACCCTCATAATTTAAGACTGTCATGTGGATATTTGGGGGGTAACTTGAAATGACTGCAGTTCTTTCAGCAGCTGTCTTGTTTCCCACTTGCTAATCTCTCTCTAGGGTGGCTAATAATACCATTACCAATAGAAGCAAAAAATGCAACTCAGCAGTGTAAGAAATTATACCCAATGAGCACCTCACTTTCACCCCTGCCTCCTGCAGCTTTGTGTGAACTTAATATCCATGAATCTTCTTGTTCTCTCTTCATCACAGCTGTTTCATATGCTCGAAAATGCCCAATAAGGTTGCAGAACAGACCCCTTCTTTTAGCTCTTCCACCTGCCTGTTGATCCCCAAAGATTCCTTGACTCCAATTTACCAGCTGCTTTGCTCACCTGCATCCCTGCTGAGGAGGCTTTGAGCAGACTCCTTTCCCGGTGTCTGCCCTGCCTGCCAACTCCCAGCCAGTTCTCCCATCCAACTTCTCCACCCTATGACAACTCAGGCCAAGCCCATTGCTGGGCTGAATCAAGAAAGTCAGAAATTCCATACCAAGGGGCAGTAGCCTTGGGCAGCAGAGTGGAGGAGGAGAACAGAGCCATCTCTCAGCAGGAGATTCCAATGGGACTTTCTAAGGCGCTGGACTTACGAGAATGCTTTCCTGGTTATTTTCTTTTTCCCTTACCCTTCAAATGAGACTTCAGTATTTTCTTTTTCTCCCAGGGTGAAAAAAATTACAGTTGAATGCTCACTTCCTGTTTAACTTGTAATGGAAAAAAAAACCCAGTAAGCTGTGCAAAATTTAACTGTGGATAAAAATAGCTGCGCTACCTTAAAGTCATTAAGAGAACATACAAAGCTCTTTGTGATCTCAAGATATCCGTAACCTGGCATCTGTCACCATCCCTCCGTCCTCGTCCAGGGGGGGAGGCATGCAGAACAAGGATTCCACTCTTAATGGCACCTTGAGAGTAAGTGCTCCCAGGTGCCCATCAAACCTGTCACTCTGAACAGCTGTCACTAAGTGACGACGTGTCGCTCCACCCTCCGCTGGCTTTTGCATAAACAGGTCTGCAGCGTTGTGCCAGGAGAGCCTTCCAGGACGGGATGCGCAGCGTCCCTTCCACAAGAATAGCGAGCCACTCTCACCTGGCTTTGCTGTGCCCATTCCAACATTCCTCTTCGTTGGACGTGCCCGCCGTCACGCTCTCGTCCTTGCAGATGGTGTAGGGCAATGTCGACCAGACCTTTTTAGAGAGCTTCAGTTTCTCTTTTATGTCTGTGACCTGATCAAGAAAGCAAGGAAAGAGAGTGAACATTCTTGCTGGGCATTGTCCATTTCTACACCAGGACATGGTGCAGGGGAAGGTTAGAGAGTCTGTGATGGGAGGAGCACAGATTCCCCATCAGCTTTAAGAGAGCACCCATCCTGTAGGACTTATTGCCCAGGGAAGCCTCACTTCCTCCTTCCTCCACTTCCCTCTAGCTTCTGGCAGAGTGTTCTCAGATAATTGACTCATGGTTTTCCATTTTTTCCTGCCCTCCCATCCTTTGAATTAGAAACTTATGAGGCATCTCAACTGGCTTCGGGGCCCCCTCTGGCTGGGAGAAATAAGGGTTCCCTACTGCAAACACCCTCAATCTGATCTTCAGGATTCATTTGCCTGGATGTCAGATAAATACACCAAGGGGATGAAAAAAGAGATACAGTGTGTTCCCCAAAGGTCTACTCATTTCTGCAAGAAATGAGCATAGTCACTAATTCAGCCGCTGGTGACCCTTGCTCTTGACCAGTGGACAGGCCCACACAGCACACTCCTGGACAATGAGCAGCACCCTAAACCCACTTTAAAATCTCTAGTAGCAGAGACAAGAGTCATTCCAAATACGAGTAAACGTAAAATCCACAGTCCTGTGGATGGATGGCTGGGAGGAGCTTGGTACCAGCAACTTTAGGGCTTTCAGGCTCAGCTCTGACTTTTCGTCTGCAGAAAGGGTAGGACAGGGACTCAGTACCATTTTGGCTCCACAATAAGAATCAAGGTTCATGCAGTCACACCATGATGTTCTACTCTGTTTATAAGAACATGGGGAAAAAAATCTATGGATGGTGGAAACGTTGTTGTTATAGGTCCAATTATGTCCTATAATATTCACATACTCAAGTCCTATGCTCAGAACCTCAAGAATATGACCTTATTTGGATCTGAGATCTTTACAGAGGTAAGGAAGTTAAAATGAGGTCTTTAGGTTGGCACTAATCCAATAGCACTGGTGTCCTTATACAAAGTGGGGCTTTGACCACAGGGGTATGCACAGAAGCAAGACAATGTGAAGAGACGCAGGAAGAAAACATTTGTCTACAGGCCAAGGAGAGAAACCTGGAAAAAATCCTTTCCTCACAGCCCTCAGAAACAACCAATCCTGTTGACATCTTGATTTTCGACTTCTGGTTTCCAAAACTATGAGACCATACATTTCTGTGGTTTAAGCCACCCACACCTCATTGTGACAGCCTGGCAGACCTATACCGCATCCTAGAAGGGAGGACCACTCACATTGTGATCAGCGGCCTTCGGAAACCAAGTGTGCTGTGTTTACTGTGGATGGAGTGCAGATCTGAGAAAACACTTCAACGATCCGTTGTCAGGTTTAAGAGGAAACACAAAGAAATAAAAGAGCAACATTTCATGCTGCCCCTAGTCATATTTCTCAGTAGTTTCAGAGCTGTACAGTTTTTGGTCCTTGCTTATTTGTGATTCTGATGATGACAGAGATTTCAGCCCTGGGAAATGTCTGTTCACCTGTCAGTTACTGAAGATGACCAGAATGTTGAACCTAAGAACTTGATACATATCCTTGAATGGTGTGATGTTATTTTTGTTTCAGAGCATAAAAAAAAACCTGCAAGTGATGAAATTCCAAAGAGTGTCTTATACTCGGTAAATCTCAGGGCAGCTTAAAAACTACAGTCTCTGATTTCCTCCACTGGTGCTGACTTTGGTCCATAGACTGCCCCCTTGGCCCTCCTTCTAGCCAAGCTGTCTGCCTAAAAAGTGTTAGCCACCTAGTTTTGTCTGACTCTTTGCGACCCCATGGACTATAGCCCGCCAGGTTCCTCTGTCCATGGAATTCTCCAGGCAAGAATACTGGAGTGGGTAGCTATGCCCTCCTCCAGAAAATCTTCGAAACCAGGGATGAAACCCGGGCCTCCTACATTGCAGGCAGATTTTTCACACCACCAGGGAAGCCCCTCTGACTGGCTAAAGGGACTGCAGTAATGCCAGTCCTTTTCTGCTCACCATTCTTAGCACAGATTTATATGCATATTGTCATTGGTTTTTAAATTTTTTTTTCTTTTAAATATGTGTAGCCATTTCTGTCCAGCCATAGGTGGATGGACACTCTGCTTAACAACTATTTAAAAAACTTCAAATCCCTGAAACCCCAATTAAGAAACGCTGAAAGCATGACAGAAAAATCACCATTCTGCAGCCATCTCATAGTAATAACTGATTTCAGTGAGTATCATCAATAGATTCTGTTGTGGGTCCACCCTAAAAGGTGGGTCCTGCTCACCAGTACCTGTGAATGTGAATGTGACCTTATTTGGAAATGGAATCTTTGTAGATGATCAAGCTAAAATGGGGTCATTAGAGTGAGCCCTAATCCAAAATGACTTTGTTCTTATCAAAAAAGGAGATTTAGATACAGAGATACCCACCGGGAGGAAACCCTGGAGAGGTGTGGAGAGAAAGGCAGAGATTGGGATAATGCTTCTATAAGCCAAGGAACACCAGCGATGGCCAGTGAGCCACCAGAAGCCAGAGGACAGGCCTGGGACAGACTCTCCCTCTTAGCCTCAGAAAGGAACAGCCCTGCTGACACTGGGGTCTCAGACTTCCAGCCTCCAGACTGTGAAAAATTAAGCTGCTATTATTGTAAGCCACCCAGTTGGTGATTATACAGTCCTAGCAAACTAGCACAAGCTCAAAGAATACTGGGTAGAAGTTTGCTGGGGAGCAGGATATTTACACAATCCCAGAGCATCCCCCTGGGCCTTCCCTAATGGCCCAGTGGTAAAGAATCTGCCTGCCAATGTAGGAGACGTGGGTTCCATCCCTGGGTTGGAAAGATCCCCTGGAGAAGGAAATGGCAACCCACTCCAGTATTCTTGCCTGGGAAATCCCATGGACGGAGGAGCCTGGCGGGCTACAGTTTGTGGGGGTGTCACAAAAGAGTCGAACACAACTGACTGACTAAACAACAACAACAAAGCATTTCCCACAGATTACTTATTATTACAAGAGGACAACTGGTCATCACTTTACAGGGCCCAAACCTGGCAGCCCCCAACTTAACCAAGTGATCAAAGTCATGGGACAACTTTGCACTGGGTACCTCCTGGTGTGATGGGACAGGACAGAAACATCACTTATGCAGCAAAAATTCATAACCTCAATCCAATCATGAGGACACACTAGACAAACCCCAACTAAGTGATGTTTTATGAAACAGCTGGTCTGTATTCCTTAAAAATGTCAGTCATAAAAGATGCAGAAAAGCTGAAGAATTTGCCCAGGTTAAGGAGACTAAGAGACATGCTGTCCAAATACAGTGGATGGCTCTGGATTGGACAATAGATTGGAAAAACAATTGCCCAAAAGGATATGTTTAGTTGGAAAAATTTGCACCCTGACTCTATATTACATAATAATATTGTATTAATGTTAAATTTCTTGAGTATGAACTCCTATTGTGACAACACAGGAGAATGTCAAGTTCTTAGGAGATACACATTGGCGTATATAGAACTAAAGAGATACGATTTCCACACCTTACCCTAGAATGGTTCAGGAATAATAAATATAAAACATATATATATATATATTTAAAGCAAGAGAGAGTGAGAAAGCAAACATAAGAAATTTTTAATAATCGGTGAATCTAGAAGGAGATATATTTTTTTTCCCAAAGATTGCAATTTTTCAGTAAGTTTGAATTTCTTTAAAAAAAATAAAACATGTCAAAAATAAAATCCTTAACATGTGATTTGTTCAGCAGAGTGCCATTCTGATGTCCCTAACCTCTAACCTGAACTATTCCCTTAGGCCACTTATCCTCACTGTTCTCAAATCCAGCTTCAGGATGGAAATACTGTAGGCTCTATTCCATCCCACAATAGATACACCAAGAATGAGCCTTCTCTTTTCTCTTATTTCATACAGAAACCCCACCTTTAACCTGTGGGAGTCTGAACCAATTATATACATTTTTCGACACAGGGAAAGAGGAAAATAGCATGACATCCCACAGGTATCTCCTTTTTTGATATTTGCCAAATTGAAGTGTATATTATGCTACTTTTTCTTTTAATCAAACTCAAGCATTGTATCTTTCATGGTTTATTTTCAACACCACCCCCTCCCCTGACACCCATGAGACTTGGATGGAACTTTCTGTGTTCTAAGAGGGCCCCCATTCATGATTCTGAGTACTGATGGCTCCAATCCTTTATAATTGGCTTATTTTTCTGATTCTAAGACCACATGCTTCTTCAAGGCAGGGACAGGGTTCTAATTTGTCTTTATTCTCAGTGCTTAGAAGGGGCCGGGTGACCAGCCATCTCATTTTGCCCAGGACTTAGGGGGATCACTAATTTTGAGTGCAAAAACTGAAAAGTCCTGGGCAAAGTGAGATGAGTTAGACACACAGGTTTCAGCATACAGTACGTGTTCAATAAATGCTGGTTGAGAAAATCACTTATGCAGCAAAAATTCAGACTTCCAGCCTCCAGACTATGAAAAATTAAGTTTCTATTATTGTAAGCCACCCATTTGGTGATTATGCAGTCCTAGAAAATTAGCACAAGTGCAAAGACTTTACAGGGTCACAGACCTTACAGTTAACAGAAAATAGTTGAGGGTCACACCACGTGGGCTCTTATCTCAAAAGGGCCAGGAGGCTCTGAGGGTCCCCCCAGGACTTGTATTAATATCTGCCTTAGTGAGGAGTGTGGGTCTCTTCTGACCATTCACACAGCACATTTCCTAATCAGGTCGTGTTCACTCTGGCATTTCAGAAGCCAGGCATTTTCATTGTGCAATCGAAGGTGATAATGGCAAAGAAGCAGTAAGAGATACAAAAGCTGTTTTAACATTCTGCACGGAAACACCGTCCAGTTCACTTCCAGACTGGAGTGGTGAGGCAGACAGCTGAAAAACATGGACACGATTAGCCACCGGAGAGGAATATGCCTTTGATTCTAAAGAATAGCTGGATGATT